AAATGTGTGCATGCTGGTTGGATTTTATATTGTGGCAAAAAGAATAATGATGTGAGTTTCTCATTAACTGAATCATCCATTCAACAAATAATTACTTAATTATTTACTATTATATACAATGCAATCGATAAGTTAGTCTGATATTCAGTTATCTTCCTGAACAATTCTGAAAATTTTTCTCTGCAGGAGCCTTTCCAGTGGAAGAAGGCAACACATTCACTATCTCAGAGAAGGCAAAGTTCAAAGCTGCGGCAAAGGGAATCTAAATAGATTAATCTCTACCCTCTGTATTCCTCCTCTTGCAGAGTTGAAGCTTATGACAAAGAATATTTAAAAATAAGAAAAGAGAAAGAAAAAAAAGAAATTCAGCAAGACCAAATGATACATTAAAAATTTGGTATTATATATAATATTCCATATCTGTGTATCCATCACATCTGCAAAGGAACAAGGGGTAGATAACTCCTCATGTTACTTCTTTGGTGCCAAATTTATTCTTTATAATTCCACAACATTCATTTTTTATTGTTTTATGGGTATTCTATTTACACTGTTGTAGTTATTATGCAAATTGTTTTCCTGGCTCTGTTTACTTTACTTTGTATCAATTCATGTAAGTTTTTCCATGGTTTTCTGTATTCATTACATAAGATCCATTGCATTCATGAACTAAAATTTGTTTAGCCATTCCCCAGTCAATGGGCATCTACTTTGTTTCTAGATCTCTGCTATCACAAAAAAGTGCTATTATAATTGTTTTGGCGTAAATGGAAATGTGGCTTACTCTTAGTCCTCCTTCTACCCCATCTGACCATCTTTTCAGCCTCCTCTGTCGGATCTTGATCCATGTCTCACCCACTAACTGTAGGTGTCTCTCAAGGCTCTCTCCTGGAGTCTTTTCTCTTTTATCTCTATACTCTCTCACTTGATGATCTCATCACCTCTTATGGGTTCAATTATAATCTCTATGCAGATGATTTCCAGATCTATATACCCAGTCTTAGTATTTCTCCTCAGCTTTAGTCCCACATCACCAGATGTCTATTAGCAATTTGGAACTGGATGTCCTAAAGGCAGCTCAAACTCACTGAACTCATTATCTTTTCCTAAAACCCAACCTTCTGATAAATTTCCCTATTACTGTTGAGGGCACTATCATATTCCTAGTCACCCAGTCTTGCAACCTCATCAGTGTCATCCTTAACTTTTCCCTGTGATCCCACATATACAATTAGTTGCCAAATCTTGTTGTTTCTTTCTCTATACTGTCTCTCCGATATGTCCCTTTCTCTCCACTCACAGAGACCACCCCACTGAGGCCCTCATCACTTCTTGCATAGACTACTGCAACAGCCTCTTAATTGGACTCCCTGTCACAAGTTTTTCCCCACTCCAAACCATCTTCCACACAGCCACAAAACTGTTTTTCCTGAAGTACAGATGTGACTCTATCACAGACCTCCCTCGCCCCCCTTTACCATCTCAATGAACTTTAAGCTTATCATCTCTTAGAATCAAAATAGATGCTACTCTTTTGGCCTTTAAAGTTCTTCTTGACCCTTACCTTTCTATTTGATTACATATTGCTCTCCTTCCACATATTCTACAGTCCTATTTGCTACCTCCTCTTCTTCCAACAAATTTGATATTGGGACAGACTGTCACAAAAAGATTATAAAGATTTAAGTTCCAGTATGTTCAAGTTTAAAAGCAAAATATGTTTATAGGTGATATCATCAATATTTAACGGGTTATTTCCTGAATAGTCTATGATATCACATTATGGTAGCTAACAAAGACATGAAAAAATAACTCCTTATTCCATTTGCCAGCATCAGTTATTCATGAAATGTGCTACCTTAGCTATGCTTGCAAATAAATATTTCAAAAATAAGAAAGGGAAGGAAGTACATTTCTGATTATTTGAAGAATAGCCCCTGCTGAATTCTGAAGTCAGATTCTTTAAAGCCAACTGAAATATAACCCCAGCATTTTCATTGCCATTCTATAAAATCTGTGGCTATAAAGTAGAAAAATGAAAATTTTTCATATTTGTTCTATAAAGTAATATTGATATGCATTCCTTACATATGTATTTTTGTTGTTCAGTCGTTTCAGTCATATCAGACTCTTTGTTACCCCAAACAAAATGGTTTGGCATTTTTTGGCAAAATTTTGGCAAAATTTCTTGGCAAATGGTTTGCCATTTCTATCTCCTGTTCATTTCACAGATGAGGAAACCGAGGCAAACAGAGTTAAGTGACTTGCCAGGATCACACAGCTAATAAGTGACTGAGGCCAGATTTGAACTCAGGAAGATGAGTTTTCCTGACTATAGGCCTGGCACTCTATCCTCTGTGCCACCTAGTTATATACTTTTAATTAATTACAGTACTATGTAATTGAAATAGTTACTTGGTTTTAATAGTCATATCATAAAGAATTTTGATAAGTCTGTGTACACACACATATATAAATATATATGTATATACACACACACACACACACACACACACATATAACCATTGCAAAACAACATAAATTATTTTCAGTGAAGTACAGGAGAAATAGAAATTAAATCAGACATGAAATCAGACAACCCGAGTTTAAATCCTAGCTGTGAAATATACAAGATGCATGACTGTTTACTCTCACTTAACTTTTTGGGGCTTATCTGTAAAGTGAACAAAATATACTTGTCCTCTTTATTTCACAGCATGTACAGATTAAATAACGAACAAAATATACTTGTCCTCTTTATTTCACAGCATGTACAGATTAAATAACAATGGATATAAATATTATATTAATGTGTGCTATTAATCTAATTCTACATCTTTTTAAAATAATCAGTTGTTTGTTTTCCTTTAGAGCAAAATGAACCTTTTCTCATCTCAAACTTTTATCAAAATTAGTAAGCCTAATATTTTATTTCACTTGTACTCTGCCAAAGAACTTTGCAAAGTTATGAATAGCCTTGGGCCTTCTTCCTTTAATTATTATCACCTCATACTAGTGTATGGAGGTACTTATAGCTACAAAGCAAAAAAAAGAAGTCTTACAAAGATTTTTCTAAGAATCACAACTGATTCTTAGAAAGGCATTTTAGTTCCCCTTTTGAAACACTTTATTGCCAAAACAAAACAAAAAATCCTCCATTACCTGGTATGGTGAGGTAATAGTGATAATTTGGCTGTCATATATTACACACACACACACACACACACACACACACACACACTGCTAGTTTTCAAAGAATTAAGAGTATATGATACATTTAACATTAAAACTATAAGGGATCTAATCTAATTCTTCTTTGATGTTTCACAAGGTATCTCAGGATCTTACAATGACTAAGTGTCATCACCATGACAGCTATCATCTTATTGTAGATATGCAAAAGTACCTATCAATAGAAAATAGTTAACTAACTTCTAGATCACAGAATTTACTGTACTTTCAGAAAAGCAACAGAATCAAAACTGCTCTGTACATAAAATAAAATAATCTCTGCTCCCTCAGTGTGTTGTCTCCTAGTAAGCTGCTTGAGGGGAAGAACTGGTTTTGCTATTGTGTTTGCCCCTCTAGCACTTACCACATAGTAAGCTATCCATATATGCTTAAAAAAAAAAACGAATTAGCTAATTCATTCATTCCTATGCCACAGAGACAAAACAAAATAGAATAACTGATAAGAGTCAGAAGAGTTGTAGTACAGTGGAGGGACTGGTGTGAAACTATGGCCACCAAACCCCACTGAATGCCTGATTTTGAAGTCTCCAGTTAAGAATTATTTTCACATTTCAAAAAAAGTTTTATGGTACTTAAAATGCAAAAACAATTCTTAGCTCTTACGCTGTACAAAAACATGCAGATGAAGGATTAGTTTGCCAAAGTTACTTTGCCTTTTTAAAATGAGAAGTTGGATTAGATTATCTTTAAAGTCCTGTCCAGGTATCTAACATTTGTCAGACTAGTATCTGACAAGAAAAAAGTCAAATCAATTCCAAAATCAAATTCCAACACTCATGATGGAAAATGCTGTCCATATTCAGAGAAAGAACCATGAAGTCTGAATGCAGATTGAAGCACACTATTTTCACTTTTTTTTTTATTTTTTGGTTTTTCTTTCTCGTAGTTTTTCCATTTTGTTCTGATTCTTCTTTCACAACATGACTAATGTGGAAATATATTTAATATGACTGTATGTGTAAAAATAAAAAAGTCAAATGAACACAACTTAAAAGTTTAGATTAAGGGAAAAAAAAAGCAACCAACTTTGTTGTGATAATTGATTTTTGCAGGATTGGTTAAGATTGAATCTGAAACTAACCAAAATGAAATAGAAATAACAGAAATAGTAATTTCTATTTAAAAGAAAAAATATGCATTTATATTATTAGCTTTGTTGAAAGACTCATATCAAAGGATGACAGGGCAACTGAGAGGTAACTTATTCTCCTACTATTGAGAACTGATCTAGGGTAGGGATAAAGAGGAGACTGCTCTAGCCTGCAGTAGTCTGAAGTTATTACTGATCTTGAGGACTACTGAATATGGTCAGCTCACACCTCCTACTGTGAATCTTTCTTGTTCCTCCTAGTTAATGACCTCTCCTCCCTCAAATAATTATTCAGATAATCATCTGTTATATGTTGTAACCCACCAGTAGGATGGATGTAAGTTCTTTAAAAGTCAAGGATGATTAAAATTAGGCTGGAAACATGGGTAGAAGGGAAATGCTCTCGGAAGAAGCTGGTATTGTTTTTCCTTTTATCTTTTTATTTCCAGTACCTAGCACAGTGCTTTGGTATGTAGTAAGCATATAATAAGTGTTCATTGGATTGGATTAGATTGGAAGAATGTGAAATGGCGACTAAGAAAGCCAATGCTAATAGCCTATGTAATATATAGAATAAGAGAAGTGATAACTTTCCTGTACTCTGCTCTAAGCTGATCACATCTGGAATAGTGTTTTGTTTTTTTGTTTTTTTTTTTAGAGAACCAACCATATTTACACTGACACATTGAAGCAGTCCAAAAGGGGGAGACCAGATTAGTGAGAAGACTGGATAAAATGCCATATCAGACTCACAGGTAAGAACTGAGGAGATTTAGCTGAAAGAATGGAAGACTTAAAGGAGTCATAATAGTTATCTTCAAGTTTTTGATTTGTTTTTTTAGACCCCAGAGGGCAGAACTAGGCACAATAGGGCAGAGGCAAATAATAGTTCCGTGTATGGAAAAATTTACTGTCCAAAAATAGACTTAATTCCCTTGGGAGGCAGTGAATGAATTCTGTTACTGAAGATCTTAAGAGTAAAGGCTGGATAACCATTTGCTAGGGATTTTGAAGATAGGATGTATTGTTATTCAGTTGTTCTACTAGTGTCAGACTCTTTGTCACCCCATTTGGGGTTTTATTGGCAAAGATACTGGAGTGGTTTGCCATTTCCTTCTCCAGCTCATTTTATAGATGTGGAAACTGAGGCAAACAGGATCACACACTGGTAAATATCTGAGGCCAAATTTGAACTCAGGTCTTCCTGACTTCAGGCCTGGCACTCTAACCACTTCGCCACTTAGCTACTCCAAAGATAGGATTACTATTAGTTATAAATTGGATTAGATGACCTCTGAGGTCCTTTAGAACTCAGAGATTCTACAGTATGACAATGTCATATTTTCTTGGTGGGTCTCCTGAGTATTATTTCACAGTAGTCCAGACAGAAGGAAATGAGGACCTCATTACTGTGAAAGGCTACTTTCTAAAATCTGGTAGTTAAAGAATCACAGAGGCTCCCCTGGTACTGATCAAGAATCCAGTATTTTCAAGGAATCAAGAAGACTCTCTAAATACAGAAACCGCCCTTTCTGTATTTGTGTGTGTGTGTGTGTGTGTGTGTGTGTGTGTGTGTGTGAGAGAGAGAGAGAGAGAGAGAGAGAGAGAGAGAGAGTCAAAACTGGATGATTTCTAGGTTATTCATTTAATATCTAATACGGACAACAATTCATTTCTCCAAATGGTTGTTGGTTTTGGTTTTGTTTTTGTTATTTTTGTTTGACAATAATAGATTTGTAAGAACAACAGTAAAATATCTGTTTCTACCATACCTACAAAGAATGCTTAAAAGTTAAAGCAGCAAAGGTTGTGTGCTGAAATAAATTAATAAATTAGTTGGAGCTAAAGTGCCAGTATCATACTACTGGATACTAGGAACACTAAGGCAACATAAAAAAGTGCTTGCCTTTGCCTGTTGCCAAAATACAATGCCCTCACAGGTTTGCAAGAAAGCCCAACCTATTTTAAGTAGTCTCAGGTGACATATTATTGGCTCATAACACTGACACTGTCTTAAAGAACACATAGGAAAAAAATTCCCTGCGCTATGATCCATTCCTAATCTTTACTAATAAAAGCTAGAAGAGCCATGAATCCTTACTGCCAAATTTTTACTTACTGACATCACACTGTAAATTTGACCACTATGTTGTCTGGAAAATCTAAAAAATATTCAAAATAAAACCTAAAGAGCATGGATAAAACACTCTGAATGCCAAGAATTAATTCATACTACAAAATAAACTGTCAAGGTGAGTGCATTTTTTTTTCTACTGCCAACTTAATATGCTCCATGATTTCCTTTTATTTTCCTTCAGCAATAGATAGAAAATTATAAATAGCTTTTATCCTATAGAATGCTGAGTATACTGATTTCAAGCCTATATCACACAAAGTATGGGGAGGTTGACAGTAAAAGTAATCATGTTCTTAATACTAATCAGTACCCTGGCTTCTTTCAACAATTGATTCATCTTTAAATTTTTAGATGAAATTAGTGCCAATAAATAAATACAAACTAGGAACTCTCTTTCCAGGTTATCATAATCAGCTTTTCAGGGTGAAAGGTTTTATTTAATGGGTACAGGCAATAGTCAAGCAAAACAAAATAAAACCTAAGCATCTCAATCATCACTATTTCTTTCAAATTCCAGTAGTATATCAAATGACATTAATGTTAGAGTTAATTTATTTTAGGTGAGAAACCAGTTCTGCTAGATATGGGAAATAAATATATAGAGATCCAACTCTAGAAATATATTTCATTGATTCTTTCTATTCTTTTCTTCCAGTATTATAAGATTACTTGTTTACCAAGTTTGCTGGTTTCTGTGATTAAGAAATACATTTCCTGTTCTATAATATTACTTTGTCTATATCTTCCTAATTGAGTCTTAAAAATAAATTATTTTCACGAGGTCATTTTTAACCTCAATCCAAATTTCCTTTGCCAAGTCAATTATAGCACATTTTCTATTGTAAACTTGGCTGTTTCTTCACCTTCACTGATGGATTTTAAATATTAAGTTCATATCCTTGTTAGAAAAAGAAGATACACTTAATAAAATAGGAAAAAAGGACTATCTGAACAGCAGATTAGTACAAGAGGTAGGTAAGATAGAGAGCTCGACAAAGTTGCAACATGAGGAGGAGAAATACTTTTTTCATATTCTCTTTTTGGGGGGTGGGTGAGGGGGAATGTATTAATCCACTGGAGAAAAAAAATGGCAAACCACTCCAGTACCTTTGCCAAGAAAACCCCATGCAGGGGTCACAAGGAGTCAGACATAACTGAATGGAGTAACAACAATATATATTTAATACCAAAAATTTTTTTTCTTCCTGACACATAAATATTTATTTTGCAAAAGTAGAGTTACTGTGTTACCAAATCATATATTTTACAGTTATAGTTCAAAGCTTCTAACACATAGGAGATAAAATATTCAAACTATTCCTATGATATACAAATGTCTTATCTTCTCCTGGCAAAGGAGACTGAGAAGAGCAGTCTAAAGAGGAGAACCAGGAGAGAGAGGTGTCCTGAAAACCTAAAGAGAAGACATCATCAAGGAGAAGAGGGTGACAAGGAGTCACAGAGAATGAAGACTGACAAAAAGCCACTAGATTTGGCAATTAAGAGATCATTGGTAACCATGGAAAGAGTTTAGTGAAATGTTGTTATCATGCCCTCTAATCTTAAGTGCCCCAAAGGGTTCTGTCCTGGGCCCTTTTCTCTCTCTCTACTACTTTACCACCAACGATCTCATCAGCTCCCATGGTTTTAATTGCTGATGATTCTCAAATTTACCTATTTTGCCTTAACCTCTCTGCTGGCCTCCAATCCCACATCTCTGACTGCCTTTCAGACATCTTGAACTGGATGTTCAGTAGACATCTTAAACTTCACATACCCAAAATTGAATTGATTATCTTTATCCCTAAAATCTCCCTCTCCTCCTACCTTCCTTATCATTGTTGAGGGCACCATCCTCCTAGTCTGTTCCCGCTCACAACCAAGGTTTCATCCTCTATGCCTCCCCTATCTATCTCTCACCCCCCTCCTTCTCCCATATCAAATCTGTTACCAAGGCCTCCCAATTAAACATTTGAGAATCTTTCAAATTCACCCTCTTCTCTTTTGTGATACTACCACCACCTAGGTTCAGGTCCTCATTTCCTTCTATTTGGACTACTGCAATACTCTGCAAGTCTCTCCTCTCCCGTATAGCCTCCATTCAGCCACAAAATTGATTTTCTAAAGCATAGGTCCAATCATTTCTCTTTCACACACACACACACACACACAAAACACACAGACACACTCACACTCACACTCAGTAAACTTCAGTGGCTCCCTGTCACCTCCAGGATCAAATATAAAATCCTATCTAGTGTTTAAAGCCATTTATAACCTAGGGCCAATCTACCTTTTCAGTCTTCTTACACCCCATTCCTACCATGCAATCTTTGATCCTGTGACATTGGCCTTCTTACTGTTCCACAAACAAGACATTCCATCTCTTGGTGAAATGATGAGGTCAGAAGCTGGATTTTAAGGGATTAGGAAGTGAGTAAGAGGAGATAAAGTGGAGGCTTCTATTACAGATGTCCTTTTCAAGGACTTTGGTCACAAAAGGCAAAAGAGATTAGTAGGGATGGAAGAATGATAGTTAGTGGGGATGGAAGATCAAGTGAGGGTTTTTTCAGGACTGGGGAGATGTGGGCATGTTTGTAGGCAGTAGCAAAGGAGTCAATCAATAGAAAGGAAGAGATTGAAGATAAGTGACAGAGTGGGGATGACAGAGGGGCAATCTTTTGGTAGAGACAGGATGGAATGGGATTATTTGTACAGGTGGAAAGATGGGTCATGGTAAGGAATAAGGCTTGTCTCTTCATGAGAGACAAGGGTGAAGGAGGAGATAATGGCAGAAGGCACTTGAGTGATAGGAGATGAGGAAGAGGGGAGAAGAGGGAGCTCATGATAAATGGCCTTAATTTTTTTTTTCTATAATTATGAGGCAAGATTCTCAGCTGAAAATTTCAAGTGTCTCCTCCCTAGCAGAATATAACTTTCATGAGGGCAGGGACTCTGTCTTATTCAAACTTTGTACTTCTTTGAGTCTAACACACTGATAGGTCTGTGATCTCATGACTGTGGTTAAGGGAATACCAAGGGCAAGACATCAATACATCCATGCCCTCTATTCTATGTGACTCTTGTCCGTGTCTTCCTCCAATGGTCAGAATAGAATTTTAGAAAAGTTAGATATTAACTCTGGCGATTACTGAATGGAAATAGAGAATAGGTAATTCCTAATATTGAATGGGAATAAAAAAGATATTTCTCAACTGGCACCAACTAGTCACCAAAGAAGATCTTTTATGTGAATATGTGGTGCCGAAATATTCAAGTGTAAATAACTTTTTTGAATCTCATGGTTTACCCTGGAACAACTGTGTTGACATTTTCAATGACAGTGCAAAAGTGATGGATGGGTAAAACTTCTGGCACCTTAGAATGAATCAAGGCAGTCATACCAAACTGTACTAATAGTCATTGTATTCCTTACCACCAGACATTCTAAGTTAAAAAAAAAAAAAGTCAGTTCAACCTGAGAATGTCCTTGATGAAGCAATAAAAATTTATGATTTTGTTAAATCTCAGCCCAAGTACAAAACTTTTTAACATTTTGTGATGAAATAGGAAATATGGATAAAGCACTTCAGGTGCATACTGAAGTATGATGTTTTT